GAGTACTCCCAGGTGGATCCCATGGCAGTCCCCAGGATGACACAATATGTCCCATTGCTTTCCCAGTATCTCTCAGTCCCTTCCCGGTGTTTCCCAGGCAATCCCAGTCTTTCCCGTTGTATCCCAGAGGCTGCCAGGGTGTCCTAGTGTTCCCAGTGCCTCCCAGACATCCCAGATATCCCACGCCTCCCAGTGTGTCCCAGTGCCTCCCAGTGTGTCCCAGTGCGTCCCAGTGCCTGCCTCCCAGTACCTCCCAGTGCATCCCAGTGCCTCCCAGTGCCTCCCAGTGTGTCCCAGTGCCTCCCAGTGCGTCCCAGTGCCTCCCAATGCCTCCCAGTGCCTCCAGTGCGTCCCAGTGCCTCCCAGTGCCTCCCAATGCCTCCCAGTGCCTCCAGTGCGTCCCAGTGCCTCTCAGTGCATCCCAGTGCCTCCCAGTGCCTCCCAATGCCTCCCAGTGCCTCCAGTGCATCCCAGTGCTTCCCAGTGCTTCCCAGTGCCTCCAGTGCATCCCAGTGCCTCCAGTGCATCCCAGTGCCTCCCAGTGCGTCCCAGTGCCTCCCAGTGCCTCCAGTGCATCCCAGTGCCTCCCAGTGCCTCCAGTGCATCCCAGTGCGTCCCAGTGCCTCCCAGTGCTTCCCAGTGTGTCCCAGTGCCTCCCAGTGCGTCCCAGTGCCTCCCAGTGCCTCCCAGTGCCTGCCTCCCAGTGCTTCCCAGTGCGTCCCAGTGCCTCCCAGTGCATCCCAGTGCCTCCCAGTGCCTCCCAGTGCATCCCAGTGCCTCCCAGTGCCTCCCAGAGCGTCCCAGTGCCTCCCAGTGCCTCCCAGTGCCTCCCAGTGCGTCCCAGTGCCTCCCACTACCGCGACTCAGGACTCAGGGTTTCAAAGTCAGCTGTGAGCCTGGCAGTGACATCACACAGACCACAGCCGCAGACGTTCGGCACAGCGGTTAAGCCACCACTGGGGACACCCCCCCCCCACATCCGAGCGCCCAGGTTCAAGTCCCAGCTCTGCCATGCTCAGGTCCCTGCCGCCCACCTGGGATGGAACTCCTGGCTTCCAGGGGCAGCCTGGTCCAGCCCCAGTGGACGGGCGGGTGGATTTCTCCCGCCCCCCCTACCCCCCCGCCCTCTTTAAGTAGCACAGTCCATCCTCAGCCTCGTTGCCAGGGTTAAATCAAGCTGAAGCCTCAGCCGTGTGCTCTCCAGGGGGGCATCTGCTGTGACTGTTGCTGCTGGTGGACCAGGTCCACGCCCCTCTCTCCTTGTCCCCCAGTCTCTGTCACGGTTGCACCCTTGCTTCTACCACCCATGGACACCTGCCCTGCAAGCCTGGGCCACACACTCCTGCCCCCTGGCACTCCCACAGCCCCCTCCCTTGTGGGCTGTCATCCGTGGGGCCCCTGCACCCCAGGGCCAGGCCCGGAGCCCCAGGAGGGTCCCTGACTCAGAGCCCAGGGGCCCTGCACACTCAGACCCCACGGAGGTTTCCCCGCCTCGCCCTCCCTTCCCCTGGAAACCACAGAGAGGCTTTGGCCCGCATTTTCTGTCTGTCCCTGCGGCCCTGCTGGCGGGGGCTCCCACTTCCTGGGCTCTCTCTGACGCCGGTCCATAACGGCCATGGTCACTATCTGCCAGCCGCCAGCCAAGGGCCCCTCCTGTGTCCTACCCACGCAGGATGCTCCAGCAGTGCCTCCTGTCCCCCTCCCAGTCCCTGGGCCACCCCCTCTGGGACCTGGGTTCACTGATTTGGCCCGTGGAGGGAGAGGAGGGGCGCCCACACCTGCCGCCTCCATGCGTCCACACCAGGGTCCGGGGCCCCCCACCTGCTCCAGGGTCTCGGGCCCCAGGTGACCTGGCCCTTGTCCATCCTCTTCCCCATCTGCTGCTCAGGGCACAGAGACTGTGCCCAGCGTCCCAGGACTTGGCTCTGATTGGCTTCCAGACCTCGCCTTGTGAAGGCTCCAGCTTTCCTCCCAGAGAATAAAAACCTGCTTTGCCATGCAAAGGCTTGAGCTTGCAGGATTGTTGTTTCCTCTCCCGTGACATTCAGAAGCCTCCAGAAACTGCAGCAGAAGCCGCCTTTGTTACCTGAGGCTGGCGGTGGCAACGCCCACCCCCGCCCCGGTGGGGACGCTGGCTGCGGTGCGTCTGTGCGCGCCTCCAAAAATGGGAAGCGTTTCTGCCTAGAAGCAGAATCGCAGCTTATGGGTTTATTCAAAGAGCAGCTATTTCTGGACTTCAAAACAGTCTTTAAAAAACAGCCTTGTTGTGCCTGAGACCCAAGACAAAAACTCCCTCAGCAAACAGGGATCCCTCTGCCATGCGACTCGTCCCAAACAAAGCCAGGTGTCGCCACGGTGCCTCTGACCTGGGCTGAGCGCCAGCCTGACCACTGAGCCGGCACCTGAGAGAGAGAGAGAGAGGGAGAGGGGGTGGGGGGGGTGGGGAGACAGGACGGAGAGACAGGGATACAGGAGACAGAGAGAGAGGATACAGAGGGAGAGAGACGGGGGTACAGAGGGTGGAGAGATGGGGGAAACAGGACAGAGAGAGACAGCAGGAGAGAGAGAGGCCACAGAGGGAGAGACGGGGGGCAGGATGGAGACAGAAGACAGAGAGACAGACAGACAGCAGGAAACAGGGAGAGAGGAGTGAGAGAGAGAGAGAGAACAAGGAAGGAGAGAGAGGAGGTGGGGGGAGATAGGACAGAGAGACAGGAGATAGAGAGGATACAGAGGGAGAGAGACAGGGGGTTCAGAGGGTGGAGAGATGGGGGGAAACAGGACAGAGAGAGACAGCAGAAGAGAGAGAGGGAGAGAGAGAGACAGAGAGAGGAGGTGGGGGAGACAGGACAGAGAGACAGGGAGACAGGAGACAGGGAGACAGAGAGAGGATACAGAGGGAGAGACGGGGGCTACAGAGGGTGGAGAGATGGGGGACAAACAGGACAGAGAGAGACAGCAAGAGAGAGGGAGAGAGAGACCACAGAGGGAGAAATGGGGGGCAGGATGGAGACAGAAGACGGAGAGACAGACAGACAGCAGGAGACAGGGAGAGAGAAGAAAGCCACAAAGAGAGAAGACAGAGAGAGAGAGGAGAAAGAGGACGAGGAGGGAGAGCGGGGAGACAGAGCCCGAGGGAGGCAGGGCACAGCCCCAGAGCACAGAGCCCAAGCCAGCCCAGCGACCACGTGGCCCGGCGCCACCCCTGCCCAGCCAGGAGACTCAGGACGGACGCCGAGTCCTGGCTTCGTTGCGTGGGAACTCGTGGGGTTGCTGTGGGGGCTGAGTGAGACACGGGGGACAAGGCCCCCTCAAACAGACCCAGACGCAGACTTTGAAGCGCAGACTTCTAACAGAAGCTTCCGAGGGGGTGGGGCCTGTTGGGCTGTGGGCGTGGGTGTGCAGCCACGCGGTCTGAGGCGTCTCAGGCTCTGTGGAAATGTTTCTTCTCCAGGGAGAACGGCTGTGGGAGGCTGGACGGACAGTGGCTCCCGGGTGTGGGCTCAGGCTGTGGGGCAGGAGCTGCATTCCCCAAGCGCTGTGCTGCAGGTGGGGGGCGGGGGCAGCTGCACCCCGAAGGGGCAGACTGGGAACCTGGAGCCGCCAGGCCTGGCTTGTCATAGGCAAGTGTGGGGCGCTGGAGCCCCGTGCAGGGGCCGTCTCTAGAGCACAGAGCTGGGGGCTTCCTTAACCTTCAGGGCCTTGGGTGCTGGGTGGGGTTCCAGGTCCTCCGTGCCCAGCGCACGCCTGGCACAGTGGGACTTCAATCAGCCCCGCAGTGATTGACAGACCGGCCCTGCAGTGGTGTGTGCAGCCACCTCCCGCGTGAGAGCTGTCCCGGCCAGCTCGGAGCCCCTGGGAGCAGACGGGCGAGAACGGCCTTGCAGATTTCAGGCTCCTGCAGTTTGTCCAGGCATCGGCACCAAGCTCCGAGTCGGGAACCCGGCAGCACCGCCAGGGCCGGCCTCCGGCTCGTGAGGCCAGGTGCTGCGCCCTCCGATGCAGGGACACTGTTAGCACATCTCCAACCAAGTCAGGCGGGGAAATGAAATCTGCGGCGCTGAAGGAGACAGAGCTGGCCTGGGTCACGGCCACGGCCAAGGGCACCGCCCAGAAAGGCAGGGCTACCTTGGTTCTCACGTTCCTCTCCTGGGAGAAGGCTTTTGTGCCGGCAGAACAGGAATACATGGCCCTACGTCTGGGAGTTTAAGGACCACGCATGGGTCTGCAGGAAGAGGGAGGTTGTAGCACCATCACTAAAATAGCTCGGAGCAGATGGAGATGTGTCAGTCCTGGCTGACTACCCCGCCCGCGTCCCGTTCACCAGGAGCGCCTCTGCAGCCCCCAGAGGCACAGCCGTGGCCTGCAGCCCAGGGCGGCCTTTATCCTGGGAAGGCCCGGGGCCGGAAGCCACTGGCTCGTGGTCCCACCTCTGTGACGAGGGCGACTCCAGTGTGTAGGGGTTTGCTCTCTGCAAAGAAGCCCCTGGACAGCAACCCCCTGACAGGAGTCTCTGCCGTGCCCACTGCTCCGGCCCCCGCTCCAGCCCCAACCTCGTGCTGGCCCCGCACCCAGCAGGGCAGGACGGTCCACGCCCACCGCTCCGGTCCCCACTCCAGCCCCAACCTCGTGCTGGCCACGCACCCGGCAGGCAGGGCAGGACGGTCCACACCCACCGCTCCGGTCCCCACTCCAGCCCCAACCTCGTGCTGGCCACGCACCCGGCAGGCAGGGCAGGACGGTCCACGCCCACCACTCCGGCCCCCACTCCAGCCCCAACCTCATGCTGGCCACGCACCCGGCAGGGCAGGACGGTCCACGCCCACCGCTCTGGCCCCAGCTCCAGCCCCAACCTCATGCTGGCCACGCACCCGGCAGGGCAGGAGGGTCCACGTGGGACCCAGACACACGCTGCTGTGATCAGCACCCGCAGTCCCAGCAAGAACGCCAACAGCTGCCACTCCTGATTCTTGTTTTGCTTTTTGAACTGGCAATGATGGGCGTCTCCCTCCTTCTCAGAACCCGGCACGGCCGGTCTGCACTGGCATGGCCCGAGAATGAGCCTCTTGTCCACACAACAGTCCTCGCAGATCATCTACCCCCCCACGCCCCTTTCCCTCTGGGTTCAGCCAGCTGGCGCACCTGCACCAGGTCTGGGCAGCGGGTACCACGGGTGGAATCCAAGCAGAGAGCTCTGGGGTGGGCGTGGCGTCCCGGGGACTCCGTGAGTGGCAGGAGACGGGCTTGGCGTGGACTGGCCTGGCGCCGGCCGCCCGGTCTGCCCAGGCGTCTGGGGCCGGTGACGGGAGCAGGGCTGCATGCTCAGTCCTCGCTGCCCCCCTTCAGCTTCCCGATGAGGTCACGGTACACGTCTCGCTCCACCTGCCACGAGTGACTGAGCCGCACGTACTCCTTCCCGTTGGCCACGAGTTCCCGTTCCAGCGCGGGATCACGGATCAGTCTCTTGGCCAACCGAACAAACTCCTGCAAGTAAAGGACATGCAAAAGCAGCGACGGTGGGGACTGGGGAAGAGGATTTTGCAAACGCATCTAAAAGCCCCCGCCCCTGGGGGGCTCCTGGCCTCGCCCCATCCACCTCCCGGCCCCTGGGGGGCTCCTGGCCTCACCCCATCTGCCTCCTGGCCCCCGGGGGGCTCCTGGCCTCGCCCTGTCTGCCTCCCAGCCCCCGGGGCGCTCCTGGCCTCGCCCCCTCCGCCTCCCGGCCCCTGGGGGGCTCCTGGCCTCGCCCCGTCCGCCTCCCGACCCCCGGGGGGCTCCTGGCCTCGCTCTGTCCACCTCCTGGCCCCTGGGGGGCTCCTGGCCTCACCCTGTCCACCTCCCGGCCCCCAGGGGCTCCTGGCCTCGCCCCTGTCCGCCTCCCTGACCCTGGAGAAGACGGCTTTGAGGAAGAATGGGAGTTAACACAGCATCGGGACTCAGTGAGAACTGACACTTACGTGTGCTACATACACACATAAACACACATGCACAGGCATGTACACATACATGTGCAGGCACTCATACACACACGAACACATGCACGCACACGCACGAGTGGATACATGCACACGTGCATAACACACATGCACACGTATGAGCACATCTGTACAGACACATACGCTCACACACACGCGTGCTGGGGTGAACATCCGTGATGAGGAGCCACCGCGCAGCCCTCCCTGGCATTCCGCAGACCCACAGAGCCTGCTGCCGCGTTTCTATGTGGTTTCTCGGGAGCCATGCCCTCTCCCTGTTCTCTGAGTGTCCCCCAACATGTGAGCTGGGCCTCACCCCAGAATCTGGGCCCCACACACTGCACCACAGCACCTGCCCCCGGCCCACTGCTGTGCCGATGGGCGGCATCTGGCCGCCATGGGAGACCTGGGTTCGAATCCCCCTACGCAACGCGGCTCAGCTGTGAGGATCCAGGAGAGCGGTCTCCCGTCCTGGCACCCCACCAGCGGGCGCCGCATGCCCCCGCCTCTCCCCAGCTCCTGCGGCCGGGCTCCGGACCGTGTATCTGCGTAAGCTCATTGCTTACTGACGCTCGCAGGCACAGCGCGGTCGCGAGGTGCTCCGGCTGGCTGGTTTCTGATACAAGACCCTTCCTAATTAGCAAAACGGGAGAGCTTTGGGCTGTTGAGGAGAATCCGGGGAGAGGCGGGGGCACGGATGGATATTCATTACGTTTGCGCCTATGCCCCGAGCAGCGCTGCGGAGCCGGGAGGCCCGGGTGCCGGCTCAGACTCCTGCCTCGCTGGGAGTGGCCTGGGGTCAATCCCAGTTCCTTCCTGTGAACGGTGATGGCCTGTGCCCGCGGCGGGCTGAGATGAACTGAGTGCCTGCAGATGACGACTTGGGGCAGAGCCGGCCGGCCCACGGCTGTCCGCTCTACCGCTGTGGTTCCCCCTCAGCCACGGGAGCCCCACGAAGGCAGCAGTGCCCGAGGCCCACACTGGGAGCCGCCCCGCACTCCCAGAGCGACCGTAAGTAAAGGTCGGATGCCTTTACAGCCAGCGACAGGAGCGCCAGTGCTCACGACCGAGTAGAATTATCGTTCTGTGTATCGTGCGCACACCTTACAGTGAAACAGTGTCTTCCATACTAAACAGGCAACACGCCAGTTCCCGCCTCTCTGCAGGGCGACATCCCCACGGGAAGTCCCGGGCCTGGCTTTGCGACACTGCTCGGCGCCAGGGTTTATGTGACACAGGGAGTGCGGCTGAAGGCCAAGCCCCTGCTGGTCACTTGTACGGAACACGCGGCTGTGTCACACAAAACCCTGCACAGCAGTGTCCGGGAGCGGGTTGTGATGGGATACCCTTTTTCCCTCCTTCTGCATAGAGGAAGGAACAAAAACCACAGACTTTAATAAAGCAAGCCAGGTCTCGCTGGGCCAGGAGGAGACGCCCACCTGCTGGAGCCATGCACTCGAGGTGGGCGGCCGTGCCTGCTTCTCCAGCCACAGAACTGGGGGACACCCAGCAGGAGGGCTTTTTAAAATATATGTATTTGAAAGGCAGAGTGACAGAGAGGGAGACAGAGGGAGAGAGATCGTCCATCCGCGGGTTCACTCCCCAAATGGCCAGCCCAAAGCCCAGAGCCAGGTCTCCACGCCTTCCCAGGCGCCTTAGCAGGGAGCTGGAAGTGGAGCAGCCGGGCCCAGCGCTGGTGATCCCGTGTGGGATGCTGCTGTCGCAGGCTTCACCGGCCGTGCCACAACGCCGGCCCCCACTGGGCGCTTCCTTTAGATCCAAGCTGACGGCGGCACTGAGGCTGGGGCCCTGCGCTGTTCTGCCAGCGACTGCCCCCATGGCAGGGGTAGGGGGCTAAGGAGAGGACCCTGGGAGAGGCTGCCGCCTTCGCCCCTGACGCCGGCCAGGTTGTGCGGCACACTTGCTCCCGCCTCAGGCAGGGCCGAGATGCCCACAGAGCCAGAGATGCCCCCTGACACACGGCCCCAGGCTCGTCTGCGTGTGGACAGGCGACACCGTATCAGACACCACGAAGAATGATGCAGCCTGAGTCCCAGCGAGAGTCCCATGAGACAGGTGCAGACGGGTCCTTCTCCTTCCGGCCACAGCCCCACAGCCCCCAGAGCCAGCTGTGAGTGAAACGTGCACTGGCGGAGGCGAGGGTCCCCAAGGACCTTGAACTACGCAACAATCGACTGTGGAAAATCACCCACAGATCAGATCACACAGCTATGAAGGGCACAGACGAGAACAAAGAAAAGAACCAAGCACCCAAGCTCATCTCTTAAGAAAAAACTGTTGGAGCTGGCGCTGTGGCATAGTGGGTAAAACTGCCCCCTGCATATGGGCGCTGGTTTGAGTCCCGGCTGCTCCTCTTCTGATCCAGCTCCCTGCTGTGGCCTGGGAAAGCAGTAGAAGATGGCCCAGGGCCTTGGGCCCCTGCACCCACATGGGGGACCCAGGAGAAGCTCCTGGCTCCTGGCTTCGGATCGGCATAGCTACAGCTGTTGTGGCCAACTGGGGAATGAACCATCAGATGGAAGACCTCTCTCTCCCTCCCTCCCTCTCTCCTCCTCTCTCTCTGTAACTCATTCAAATAAATAAATAAATCTTAAAAAAAAAATTCTCTTACGGTCTGGACGCTGCTCGAAATCGGCCCAGGAAACCCCACCCCTGACCCGCAAGGGCCCAGCAGGTGGAGGGGGAGGTGGCAGATGCAGGCCTAGGTGTGGCATGGCGATTCCTGTCATTTATTTAAAATTTCAGCCTAAATTCTGGATATCTGTGCACAAATGCGCCTCGTCAATATGAGCAAGCAGTTCAAGCCTCAGGCCCCGCAAGCGAACCAGACCGCTCTGAGGCCGCGGAGGCACACGCCGGGCGCGGGCGACCCCTTGCAAAGCCCCGATGCGAGTGCACAAACGGCAGGGTTTTAACTGTTCAGCCGGCAGCCGGGCGTCCTCAGGGGGCTCCTCCTTCCCTGGCTGTGGCACCTGCTGGTGGGAACCTCTCCCGCGAATCCTTTCCAGCTGTGGCTTTGCCAGGGCCGCGGGGGAGAAAGTGAGGCCGCGTGTATGACTTTACAGGTCAGCCGCAGAGACCCGTGTCACGGGCACTCTCGGGGTGCTGCCGCCTCACAGCCCGGGAGCGCACATCGGGGAGCCATGGCCACCCCTGGGGCTCTGCAGGGCCACGCGGGGCTGCCGTGTGGGAAACGCCTGCTCTGGGTGCACCACAGGACGAGAGACCTCGCGGGGGTCAGGTCCCACCTTCCCGTCAATCACGTGAGAACTCTGGGTGCCTGGCTTCAGACAGGAATTACCGGAAGCGGCCTCCAGCTGATTGACAGGAGACGGTGCCGCGGTCTCCTGAGACCGGCAGATGCTGCTGTGGTCCCGGCTCTGGCGGGGCCCCTGGAGTTGGCTTCGGTTCTCAAACCCGGCTGCAAGAGTCTCTCCCGGGGCTTGTGACACGCACACATGTGACACAAGCCCACTCCCAAAGCCCGGCCCCAAGTGGTGGGGGGCTGCGGAGGGGTCGAGCGTGTGTGTTCTCCACGTCACCCCCGGTGAGTCTGGGGTCACCAGCTCAAAGCCCGCGTGCCTGCCTGGTTTCCAAGGTTACTGAACCCAGCACAGATCTTTACTCACTCTTTTCAGTTGACTTGAAAGGCAGAGACAAAGAGGGATCCTCCGCCCACTGCTTCACTCCCCAAACATCCCCCACAGCCAGAGCTGAGCCCGCCGAAGCCAGGAGCCTGGAACTGCATCTGGGTCTCTAACCTGAGAGACAGGGGCCTACGCCAACACCTGCGGGCCCCCAGGTGTGCATTAACAGGAAGCTGGAACTGCAAGTGGAGCCGGGACTCCAACCAGGCGCTCCGATGTGCATGCGTGCGCGTTTGTGTGCATGTGCGTGTCTGTGTGTCTACGCAGCCACGACAGCGCCCCGACCGTCGGCACATGTCCTTGGCTGTCCCCGTGACTCCAAGGGACAGGCGGAAGTTCTCGGGATGGTCGGCACAGAGCGTCCACCGCGTTCTCAGGTCCCAGCCGCAGTACTCGACGCGGGAGGGCTGGTGCCCGCACCTCCTCCGCACCCGGGGCTCACCTGAAACACCCACGGCAGCTGCAGCTGGTCGCTGAGTAGGAGACACCACGCGGGTGGGTCTGGCAATGACCCCAGTAGAGCAGCCGTGTCCTTGCCGAACGCTGGCTGCAGAGCCGGAGAAGACGCTGGGGCGAGGGAGGCCGCCCTTGTCGGAGTGGCGGCAGCTGGGTGTGGACAGGGCCTCCCCAGGCTGGGGGGCGGGGGTCTGAGCCTGAGCACCAAGGCATCTGCATGGACCCTGTGGCTCACACCGACCCAGGGAGGGGCCGGGCCCCAGCCCCCCCCCAAGACAACGCCTGAGCAGCTTCCAAACAGGGCCAGTCCTGACCTGAGACCCAGAGACCCACAGGAGGCGCGGGGACCCCTCCTGAGTCTCAGCAGTGGGGTGCGCGCACCAGA